TATTTACTTTCCAAAAATTACCAAACTACAAAATATCAACATATCAAACCATAACCAACATATCATTATAACATTCTACTTTCCATTATAGCATTTACTTAAACTAACAATTACTTGTGATTGTGGTGGTTCTTGTGTCACTGGTTGTTCCTGATCGTACATAGACACAACGGTAGGAGGTTTACGTCCAATGCCTCTGATATGTCCGCGTCGAACACCTAATATTCTTTCAAAACAGTTTTTATATCAGTGGGTGTTAGACCGCTTGCTTCGGAAGAAGCTTGGGTTCGTTGGTTGATCTCCTGGAGTAAATCATTATGTATTTTCAAAAAATAATAAAAATCATAAAAATTAGATAACTAAATACCCTTGACGATATAAACACTTATATGAAAAATACAAATTAACCACTTACGTATTATTGCTCGACTGTAGGACTACAAAATACCCCTTGACGATTGAATTAGCCTTACGAAAAGCTTCAATTCGACAAATATCCTATTTAACATTATAAATTAGATTACTTATACTTTAAATAAACATTTAAATATATCATAGCTTACTTCTTTGAAACATGCATTGATGTACGAGCTCGACCCCCCTCTGTTTACAACTACTTGTTTTGCACGGACTTCTGTGTTTGACGCCGAACGCCTTAAAACTTCTGGCGTTTGAAAATGTTCGACTGCCTTCGCCCAATTTTCAGGTGACATACCATTGGGGGGGGGTTGTTTAATGCGGCTGGGATATCTGCAAGCCCCCCGATTTCCTTAAAATAAGAATGGAGTTTACTTTTTCGGCCTCTGTAAACTTTTGCAAGACTCGAATCAATGCTCCGAAACAATTGAGCACGCTCCGGATCTACGTTAACCTTATCCAAATCAAATTTATTCTACAAATACAAAAAAGTTAGTTAATTAAATAACAATCACAACTAAACTTAAAATTTTATCCAAGTTACCTTTAGATGCCCATATCATATTTTTGGAAGTGTACCGTGAACAATACAAACAGCGTAGTCTAGGGGTCACTGGAAAGTACCGTAACACCTTATGAGCCACTTTCTTACCCTTGGTGTTTTTATCAATCCACCGACTCTCTTTAAAAACGGGACAATATTGCAATGACTTGTGTTCCTTCCAAAAGAGAAAACAATCGTTTTTGCAGACATGTATTGACTCATACCCCAAACCTAACTTCTTCAGTTTTTTTTTTTTTGCTAAATAATATGAACGGGGAACCTTGTTGTCTGGTGGAAATGCCGAATGCAACAACTCAAAGAGTTGATCAAATGAACTATCAGTCCATTTGTTGTTGACCTTGATATGCATCAGCTTTGCCAAAAAAATAAAGGAAAGAAAACTTGCAAGCAGGATATAACTTGGTTTCGACTGCCTCTATCAACTGTTCAAAATCATCATCGACACCGCTACCCCCTGTATTCGAGGTTCCTTTATCGAGGTTTGTATCATTTTCTCTCGACTCCCACATAACATCGTCAATAACAGCAGCCATCTCGTTGCTTCGCGATCGATCTCTACAACTGGAGGGATTAATGGTTCACCATGATATATCCACGTTTTTTATGATTGACTGAAACCATATATATGAACATGACGTCTCATTGCTTTCGGATCCATGAAGTAACGATTATCACATTTCTCACACGGACATCTGGTTTCACCTTTACAATCTAGGTGTAACATGGATCTATTGACAAAAGAGTCGAGTCCTAGCTGGAACTCGGGAGATTGACGATGTGGATTAGTATTCACTACTACAAAATAACAAATAGAATACTGTTAAAATGAAACATAGAATACGGTTTTACAGCGGTACTCTATAAGGGGGGTTTCCTATTCGAAAATGTAATACAATACGGTTGTAAAATCGTACTCTATAATCATCATATAGTACGGTTTTCTAGATAATACAATACGGTTGCAAAACCGTACTCTACAATCATCATAATGTACGGTTTTTAAATAATACGGTACGGTTGCAAAACCAGTACTCTATAATCATTATAAAATACGGTTTTAGGGTTTTTTAAAAGTAGCCTTATTCTTTTAACGGAACACATAGAATACTGCTTTTTCAATGTAACCGTACTCCTTATAAAATATTGTAAATTACGGTTTCTTATTGCCAAAGGACATTCTAAATAAATATATTTCATAAATTAAATACAATAATTACACTTTTCTATAAAGAAAACATGCCTATAAATAATTTCTACACACAAACATTTCATGAACAAACAGAATATATATAAAAGTCAAAACAAAAGCATGATTAGTCATTAATTTCAAAAATTAACAATATCCATTTCAAACATAATTTGCCATAAACCCAATTTGTCCATCCTAATCAACAAAAAAATAAATATATAAAAAGACAAACAAATCCATCTGGTAGATGTCAAACTCCATAATTGCAGCCACATACCTGCGACATAAGACAAGAAAAGAAACTAAAAGTTGCAACTAATGGAAAAAAGGGAACATATAACTGTTATGATAATAAAAAATTGAGTTAATTTGCAGGAAATAGCAACATAGTTTCATTTATTTGTTTATTAAGACATCCTACTACCATTTCTTCCTATTGATATACATTGAGACATATATCCCATAATAGCAAGATCCTCCAAATTCAAATTATTTTTTACAATATATATTTTTTTGTAGTTTAATGTCCTAATAAAATAAAGATTTGAAAGTATGATGCTACAGTAGGTTCATTTTTAAAAGTACAATGTCTTGATGAGTTTTTTTAGGTACAATGTTGTATAAAATGAAATGCAAGTGCAGTGTTATAATAATCAAGTACATTAAAGTAAAATGCTATAACAAACAATTAGGTAAGAATAACTAACCTTTCAAAGGGGCACTTGACTCAAATACTTACTCTCAAACCTTGAGCTCCACATAACGATGATTTCATTTAACACCCAATCCGGAAATGGTTTTTTATCGTTCCAGTTTTTCTATATATAAATTAAAAAATAAATTATAATTTAATAAAGAATGTTTAACATATTAGACAAATTGCACAAAGATTTAAGATACTTACTTTGTTTGGGAATTCATTTTGTCGAGTCAACACGAACTCAAACATCCATCTCATGATGTAAAAACCACACTCCCAACCTGATGGTTGTTGGTTGCACTACAAATATTAACAATAAAGGATTAGAGAACTTTTACTTTGAACCTACGGTTTTGATCTGATGATGGAACAGGTTCCGTGTTCCAGGTATCAGTTTTTAATAAAAAAAATTTAACAAGAAGCATGTTCAAGGTACCCATGAAGTACTTTTACCTCGACAAGTGTCCAATTCATTGGGTGTGTTGTGTCAATATCTTCCTTAAGCCTTGTAACAACCCTAAAATGAAGATTAGAAAAAAAAATTAAAAAAGCTATAGAAAGAAATAACAGTCGGAAATACAAAAAGATTTCTTACTCTTCGACATATTTCACGACTATGTAGTTCTCCACGGGCTTCTCATCCGGATTTTTTTGGGAATCCAAGATATACCATGTGCCTTGGTTAGGGCAGATTACTAGCAGCATCCAATGCAATCTAGTAATGTTAATACATTTTAGTATACACAATAAAGAAATAAAGCCAATAAAAATGAAAGCAGTAAGATTCAATACCCTTGCCAATAGGGTGCGACAAAAAACTGTTTGTCTTTATGGAAGCGCATTGCATCAACAATGTAACTTACAACACCCTCACCATTTGACTCACATATTGTTGCCTGAATCTCACTCGGGGAAATGAAAGCACATTTGTTAACTTTATTCCCACCACGTGTTTCAAGCATTGAATGTAACATGCTACAAACCAGAAAATATACATTATAAATGTAAATACTATAAACGAAAATAATTTAAACATTGTTGTTTGTACTTACATTTGAAACCAAGTTATGACACTAATATCAAGCCATTGTTTATTCAACAGACGTAAAATCTCCTCGGGGTAAATATATGTTTCAATTTTCCGAGCTCCAAGGATCCCGGGTTCGGCTTCAACATAAATCGCATCATCAAGAGCTTCACGATTCATCAAACGTCTATACATTCTTTTCATGATCAGGGGCATTTTTTCTAGTTCGACTTGCTTATTAGAATTATGTGGTATCAAACTTTCCTTTGATGGCTTGGTCTTCTTCATAACACCCTTCGAGATTACTGGCACACTCTTGGTTATGCGAGGTTGCTTTGTTTTTGAACGAACATTAAAAAATTGTTTGATTATCACATATTTGTACAATTTATAATATACATATAATAACTAATAAGGTTGGAGAAATTACCGGGTCGATAGCTACCGGTAGAGAGGAACATCTTTTATCTTGTTCAACATTTGGCTTGAACTGTGAGGACTGTTAACAAGTTAGATGTGTGAACAACTATTTATTACTCTAATTCTAAACAAAGTTAATGATAATTCTATGTACCTGAATGATCTTAATTGCATTCCTTGGCCACTGAACTATACCATGAAGCGCCTCACACAGCTTACTCGCTTCTTTGGTCGAGACAGGAAAAGGGATACAATCATATTGGTCATAGATCTTGTCTATGGATACCCTCAAATGATTTGCATTTAAAGGAACTGAATGTATTTGTCCATTCCCATATGGAAAGACCATCCCTTTTGCACATTTTTGGTTCATTGCGCCGTATGGTATCACTAACTCGCAAGCAGTAGGAGTCTGCAAACATATAATGTATATGTTAATATATGATCAAATATCTTGTATATAAGAAAAAAAACACATGATTACCTTTATCCCATCCAACTCATCTGATACAGTCGAGACGACACTATTTTTCTTCAATACCGGACTGGTAATGTGTATGCCTTCATTCTTTGAGAGAAGCTGGTGCATATATGTTTTCATCTCTTCCATCTGAGCATTCATCTCTTCTATCTTCGCTTCCATTTTGGCCTCCATCATAGCCTCAGCCTCGATCTTCATCTTCTACTTAATATCTTCCAAGTTATATTTATCATGGCTCTTCCTTTTTTTCTTATCAACCCTAGGCATGGATTGTCTCAAGCCAACATTGTGCCCAACAGCCCTCGTACGACCTGGATGCTCGGGTCCTAACACCTCTGTAAGCACATCAGCTCCAGGTCCAGGAAACCAATCTCCGTGAGATAATTGGGTATCTTTTTCAATCTGTTAGTCCAAATAAATTTGCAAGGGTAATTAAATCCTAAATAGTTTTAAAATAAATGATAACATTACAAAATGAATACTTAACTTACCAATTCAGATGCCAAGGAGTAGAGATCAGTAGGTAACGAGTATATTCCTGTGGGATCACGTTTTAACCTAGCAAGGATAAAATTCCTTGCACGTTCACTTCTTATATTATGGAACTTCGTTGACTCACCAGACTCCATCTCTTTTTCCCATTGAGGTTTCATACCACGATAACCACGTGGGCCTATCCGAGGCGGATACTTGTTCAACTTTGTAGTCTCTGTAGCTTTGCTGCTTATTTCCTGGAAAGAAGTAAGTAGCAGAATGAGAAACACTGCAATATAGTATTATCATATAAAGAGGGGTAAAGTGAGACAAACCTGGAAGCTCGGTGATGTTTTGAGTTGAACAAAAGCATTCCATGTAGGCTCGTCTAGGTATAGGATTTCTACCCTTCTTTAGGTATTCGGTAACAAGTCTGCTCTTGTAAGCCTTCCATGACTGATTGCAAATTTTTAGTACCTGGTTTTTGTGCCTATCATCTTCTATATTCCAATGTTTCTGTTTTTTTACAATAAATATTAGTAATATATATATATATATATATATATATATATATATATATATATATATATAAATGAATGTATGAATTAAATGAAAGTACAATTAACAGGCTCACACAAATACCTTAATGTTTAACCATAGTTCATCGATTTCAGCCTTAGGAACTTCATCCCAACGCAATGAGGATAGAAATCCTCGTCCTTACCATGACTCCACAATAATTGCTAAACTGAGATTGGGTAGCTGATAGCTCCGATATTTTGGCCTAGCTTATTAAATTCAATTTCCAAATCCACTTTGTTTTTCGGGTTTCCCCTTATCAGTGTCACACTTTTTTTTTCTTTGTGGTTGATCCATTGTATGCCTACAAAACCAAGTAACATAATTTCAGATATACATATTAAGGAAGTAATTGTTAATGTGTATTATGGTGAAGAAGAAGATGGTTCGGAAGTTGAAATAGGTGTTTGATGATGATTGTTGGCTTCTTCAAATTGAGAAGTCAATGTGCTAACTTCAGTTTAATCTCTCCAAAACAATATATTTGTTGGGAAAGTTTGTGAATCCCCATTTTCTGTTGATTCTTCTTGTGTTTGATGAATTTCAAGCAAATGTTGGACTGAAATTTCAATCTGATAGGAACAGGGTTTCTACAAATCGGAAAAGTTGAATGTCAATGAAACCACATATCAATGCATTCAACATGAAATCCATGGCTACATTTTGGTAGAATTCGAGTTTTTTCTCCTTCATCGAGCTCTGATACACAAATAGCACAATCTAATCCATCTTTGAAGTCATTCGGGTCGAACCGGAATACCAATTATCAGTTATATTTTCTGTAACAAAATACTAAATCCCTAACTTGAAAGTGAGGAGTTACAATTTGTTATATGCACAGAAACCAGGAAAGAAAAGAACTTGAAAAAGTTTTATACAACCACACTAATTTGTGCCTGTATCTTGGGTATTGTTCACGAAATGGGGGAAAATGATGATTAGAAGAATTACATGTGAAATGTTCTCACAAAACGATTGAACTGCTGTCTGCTTTCGTCACAGTGGTTTGCTCTCCGATGCTCTCACAGAATTTTCTTTGATATCTATGGTCTCCCCGTCAACTGCATTCTCAAGCCTTAAACCCTAAAATTGAATAAAGCCGGGAAAATTGCGCGCCTAAAATTGCTCCTACCATGATCTAATGGATCATGGGGTACTGGTTTCTCGAAAGTTAGCAGCGTTTTCCTCAAAATTTTGATCGTGGAGCAACTGGAACTCACACCCATTTTTCTGTGAGTCTATTGAAAAGAAAATTAGGAATTTATGAGTACATTTGGCATATAAACCCTCGGTATACTCATAAAGGTGTGTTAATGATTATAAAATTAATAAACATCCGTATCAAAATGTATGAGTTTTTTTTTTTTTTAATAACCAAGTAATCCTTATATTACATCTAAAAATATTAATATTATAAATGGATAGATACATACATATCTACATGCATACACATAAATAAATATAACATTTATAAAAGCATTTTTTTTAACGTAACTTTACTAAAGTGAAATAAAAATCATATAATATTTAAACCAAAAATACTAGAATTATTTATAACTTACCAAAATTCTCAAAATAATTTGAATCATGTTCACGCATGTTCCATTATTTTCCGTTTTAATGTCTTTTCTCATGACATGTTACTGCAAAAATACAAATTGTAATAATAGTTATTATAAAGTACTAAAAATTTATAATCACTTTTTTTAGTTTCACGACAGATAAATAGTTTATTACCTTTCTTGCATTCCGTTTGTGTTTTTTTGCAATGGGAATCATATGTGTCAACAGAACATGACAATCATGAGACTTCATACTAAGCAATTTCAAGTTTTTCATCGACACCAACTTCTTAATGTTTGCAGAATAGCCGGATGGGACTTTCACCCCATGCAAACATTTACAAATTTGGTCTTCTCGGCCTTATACATTGTATAACAAGTTGGTGGTAGATACGTACACTTTCCATCATTCTTAACAGGTGCAAGTTCAGGCCGAATTCCCATTTCGACCAAGTCTTCTCGAACATTGATACCATCATTCGTTTTCCAAGGAATATTCAATAACAAGCCTATCAAACTTTCAAAAACATTTTTCCCAATATGCATCGGATCAAGACAATGTCGGAAAGTCCAGGTGCTTCCAATATGGCAACTCCCAAAAAATAGACCTCTTCTTCCAAATATATTTTGGAGGTTTTTTACAACACTTTCCAAACACAATGTTCAAGTCATTAACTTGTGATAATACATCTGGTGGTGGTGGTGGTGGTGGTGGTGGTGGTGGTGGTGGTGGTGGTGGTGGTGGTGGGTATTTTTAAAATAACCGTATTTTTTTGTATGTAAATAAGTCCTGTTGGTTATGAAAACAGTATTCTATTTGATTTTGTACGGCTGTTTTTTGTCGACAGTACTCTATCTCTAATATGATACGGATTCTTATGCAACTGTATTCTATTAAGAGTATTCTATTTGCCAGTTTGTAGTAGTGATTCCAGCTTTTATCAATAGACATGATACAACTGAAACATAATTTAGTGTTTAAGGTTTACTCTACGGGAAACAATAATCAAGTAGAGTATTCATAAAGTCGATGATTCAAAAAGTATCCCAACACGGGAACACATGAACAAATAATCAGAACTTGCCCAACATTAAGTCACTAATAAAATTAAGCACTTTGATTTTAAAATTAACTTAATTTTATTTTATAATTAAATTAATATTTTATTTTTTATTATTAGTTTTTTTTAACATTAATTTAATTTGATTTTATAATTAATTTTATTTTATTTTAATATTAATATTAATTTGATTTTATAATTAATTTAATTTGATTTTATAATAAATTTAATTTGATTCTAAAGGTAACTTAATTTGATATTCTAATTAATTTAATATTTTCTTTTTTGTTATTAGTTTAATTTTTTAGACTAATTTTATTTTATTTTAATATTAATATTAACTTGATTTTAAAACTAATTGAATTTGATTTTACAATTAATCTATATATTTTTATTGATTTTTTTAAAATTAATTTAATTTTATTCTATTATTAAATTTAAATTACTAGAAGTACGTTGCTATTAATAACCTAATTAAGCCAAATGTATACATCCAATTTGTATGTTCCAATTTCATACAATTAAACAAAATGTATACAATACATTCAATTCCAATTTTCATTTCATTTTAGACATACAATACAACTTGCATATTCTAATTTCATACAATTAAGCATACAATTCCGAACAAATGTATACATCCAATTCAAACAAATGCATACATCCAATTTCAATTTCATACAAATATATACATCTAAATACAAAATCAAACAAATGTATATATACATCCAATTTCAATATCAAATTTCAATTTCATACCAAATTTCATTTTTAAGCCAATGTGGTATAAACATAAATCAAAGAAACATATACAAAATGCATAAACACTTCCCACAAATCTGAAAAACATATACAATCCCACAAAATGCATAAACACTTCATAACATATATACAATCCCACAAAATGCATACACTTCATATCTCAAAATACAAACATAATCACTCAACAAAATTAAAGAATACTAACAATTTATCATCCAAATTAGCACCAAAACAGAAAAATAAGAGAAAATAGGGAGGAATTCGACCTTTAATGTGGGCAATTTCGGAATTGAGATGATGGGTCGCCGGTATGGAGTGCTAGGTCGCCGGTAATGGAGAATTGGGGGAAGGTGGCGGTCTAGCAAGGGAATGTCGCCGGTTTCCAGCCTCGTCCTCGTCGTGTTAGTGAGAAAGAACAGAAAGGAAAGAAACGAGAGAAAAGGGTAGGGACAGAAAGAACGACACAGAAAAGGAAGCTATGGGGGGGTTATCTACGACGGGCTTTAGCGACGACAGACAATAGCGGCGACACCTTGGAGGGTAAAGTCAGCGCGTTCCTCTACGACCGTTCGATTGAAAACAAATCGGATGGATGAGGTTCATTTGACGCGGATCACAGTTAGTTGGCATTAGCGGCGACGCCTTTAGCGGCGATGGAGGGCAATAGCGGCGACATATAATGCGTCAATTACAGGTCGCCGCTATTGCCCTACGTCGCCGCTAAAGGCGTCGCCGCTAATGCCAGTATTTCGTAGTGTTCACTCACGTCAACCTCTTCACGTCAACCTTTTGAGAACATATGCATTTTAATTAAATATTGAGAATATTATTGTTAGAAAAGTTAACTTTTATTTTAAATAATGATATCGTGCTGTCTATTTATTATCTAATCTGTATTTTTATTATTTTATATTCCAATAAAAAAAAGACCTAATATCTACATATGAATTTTTTATGGTAAAATACATGTTCCACTAAAAGTAAAAGTAGAAAAATGGACTTTATTTAGTGGATGATGATATAAAAGATGCTATTAGAGCCCAAAAATATTGCAATGTCGTAAACAAAAAGCATCCTAAACCCCGAAAATGTTGTAGCGGTACAACCACAAAATGTCGGGATAATGACTTAAAAGGGTAATATATTTTTCGATTTGTACACATTCGGTCACTAAAATTTTTATTCGTCCACATTTACCCCTTCAACTTGTTAAACTGTACACATTCAGTCCTTATGATCGGTTACTCCAGGTTAGCCGGGAAAAATGACTTAATAAGGTAATATATTTCTCATTTTGTATACATTTAGTCCTTAATATTTTTGTACACATTTAGTCCTTAATATTTTTTTGTTTCAAAATAAGTCATTTTTGTTTTTGTACTCATTCAGTACTTATGAATGTGGGACAATCATTGATGAAGTGTGTGAGGCTGTTGATATCTATGTGTAACGTCTCATTTTCACAACAAAAAAATTTCATTTTAAAATAAGACAAAAGTCCATAATTATAAATCCATTATTAAGAAAAAAACGTTTATTCCAAAATACATTTATCGAAAATCAGAGTACTATAAGAAATGCGGAATCTTCAATACTGTTGACGAGTGTATACAGTCATGCCTTCGCCTTCCAACGATCAACGATAGAACCTGAAAACATAAACAACTGGGTAAACACAAAGTTTGGTGAGTTTCCCCCCAAAATACCCGATACAACAAACGTATTATCATGCATAACGGGCCCACACTCATCATATTGGAATACCTTGGCCTAATCAGTCATCGGACTGGAATGCCAACATGCAACAAGTCCAATCAGTCATCGGACTGGAATACCCAGGGTTTGTCGGCATGCCGCCTTAACCCAACCGCTCTTCCCGAGCCTCCGTGCCTACGACTTACAGTCGGCCCGCACCAGGTATCTTGGCCTACAACATATAGCAAGACCACATCAACCTATCCCACCACCATATGGCTATCCCACGTAAGATGTCGCGAGAAAAACCTAAAGAAATCATTCATAAGTACTGAATGAGTACAAAAACAAAAATGACTTATTTTGCAACAAAAAAAAATATTAAGGACTAAATGTGTACAAAAATATTAAGGACTAAATGTGTACAAAGTGAGAAATATATTACCCTATTAAGTCATTTTTACTGGTTAACCTGGAGTAGCCGGTCATAAGGACTAAATGTGTACAGTTTAACAAGTTGAATGGTAAATGTGGACGAAAAAATAAGTCAGTGACTAAATGTGTACAAATCAAATAATATATTACCTTTTTAAGTCATTATCCCACAAAATGTCACTAAGGGCTTACTAGCAACGCTTTAATGAGACTTTTCTTTGTGTTGTGGACTATAGTAACACTTTATTGGTATTTTGGGACGTTTTTCTATGTTACTAAATTTTATTTTATTTATAGTGTATATTTGTAACACTTGCAAAATTTTAATAATTTAAAATGGGATATACATCAGTGATAGCACAGTTGAACAAAATGGAATAAAGAGTAGTGATATCACAGTTGAACAAAGGATTAATATAAACAAAACTGCGTCATACAAGCGCCAACTCTATTAGTTAAGTATATCGAGGAAAAAAGAGGGGCGCACTCATTAGGTGAGGGCAAAGTGCGGACACCACACGCCATGTTAAACTTGTATTTGACTGGCACGGGCTCCACTTGAACTTGAACCCATGCATCCTCCATAAAGTTTATTTGTTTTACGGTTTCAGTATTTTATTCTTACTAGAATATTTATTCAATCGATCGTATGAGCTCATTAGCTACGATTTATTCCTTAATAGAGTAGTAACTGATTTTGTATTCATTGAT